GAGCAGAGGAAGCTTCACCTGCTTTAAGAGACAAGCAGGACCCAGCTGCGAACTGGTACAAACCAGTGCGCCCTTCCCTTCCATGGTAATGTCCCAGTCGAGGCAAAACAACTCCAGTATTCCTTACGCCTGACAGAGGTAGTGTGAGGTCTGGTGAATTCAGCTCCCAACAGGGTATCTGCATGACAACTCGATCCCTGTCTGAAGAATGTCCGAACTGGGCATGGTGGTGCACCTCTCTGATCTCCACACTCTGGGAGGCTGAGGCAGGAGGATTGCAGTGTTCAGTCCAGCCTGGGCAATGAGTGATGTAGAGAGATTCTGTCTAAAAATAAAAAGGGCCGGGTGGGGATGTAGCTCAGTGTCAGGGCCCTGGCTTCAGTCCGTCTGCATCTCCATTTCCCAAGAGCCCACCAGACCCACCCATAGCAAAGGTCTTTAAACCTCTGCTCCCAGTGTGATGGTCCCAAGTCCAATGTGACCCAGAGACTCACCCCCCTGCCCGGACCCCATAAGCAGCTGCCCCTGGGTAAGGAGGGTGCTGCCAGCCTAAAGAGGGAGCTGCTTCTGCCTGGTTCTGGCTGTGCCAGCAATGGGAGGCCGCAGCTCCCAGCAGCACCACTGGTACTGGGGACCCCTGAAACGTTACCAGAAACCTCTGCAGTAGGCTCCAGTCTCCTACTCAGTGTACCATGCAGACCTAAGGGGGGGAAAAAAACCTAAAAGACAGAACTAAAAGACAGGAAGTGGGGCACCAGGATGACCAATGCCAGTGCCGCCGACAGAGGTGCTGGCCAGTCCAAGCCACTGATTTTTATTGGTCATCAATGGGGTAAAGACGAGCTACGGGCAGGGGTGAAACAATATGGAGATTAATACAAGCAAGGCTCGAGAAGGGCGAGACAAAGCATTCTCGAATTAGGAACAGAATAGATGAAATATGGTTGTAATTAGAGCACTGTCCTTCTAGTTAGAAGGTTTTAGTTAGGGTGGAATTGGGCGCAGGTTACTCTGTCCTCAGCACATAGGCTTCAGCTGGGACTCGCCTCTATAAACAAGCCAGTTGTGGGGTTCACTCTTCACAGCCTGCCTTGGGCATAATCCACACTGCAGTCTCCCACACAGGGGGCTTCTCTGCGGAACGACCCAGTCCGCACCCACCCAGAGGGCAGCAGCAGTCCCCCTGGGGAGGGAAATGATCCACACTGGAGCTGGGGCTCTGGGCCTGGCCCATGCGCTTTATCCTCTCAGCGCAAGGAGTCCCAGACTCAAAGCTGAAAGGAGGAGGATGCTGAGACTCTCCGGAGAGCATTACATGGAGGTAGAACCTCCGTGCAGGGCCCTGCCCGCGGAGACGGGACCCTGAGAGCTGGGCTGTAGGGAGCCCAATCTGTTTGCCGCCCGAAGAATGCTAAGGACCTCACTTAAAATTCAAGCAAGACGACTGGAAATTGGATTTCACAAACAAGCATGATCCTGATTATTAGACATCTGGTTCCAGGTGGAGGGGGGTCACAAGGAACGAAACAAGGAGAGGAGGCATTCGCTGGCCTAGTAGAGCATGGTGGTTTGGTTTTGGTATTTTGAGATAGGATCTCTCTGTTTAGTTCCAACTGGTCTCGAATTTGTGGCCATCCTCCTGCCTCAGCCTCCTGGAGGTGCCCTGTGTCCACGGACCATGCTCCCTAACGTGCACCCCTTCCACTGTGGGTGCAGTCGTCACAGGAGACAGCGATTCACAGAGCAGGGATAGTGGGCCGGGGTTTCCAAGGGGCGACACGATGGGACATAACTGCGGGCAGAAGTGAGCGGTGTCTCAGGGGCAGCAGGGGTAGGACTTTTATCCTTTATGAGGCACTGGGGACTGAACCCAGGGACTTTACACTGAGCTATTTCCCCATCCCTTTTTTCTTTCTTTCTTTCTTTTTACTGGGGATTAAACTTGGGTCCTTGCCCTTGGAAGCAGGTTGTGACACCACTGAGCTAACCCCTGACCCTTCTTTTTTTTTTTAATTTTGAGACCGGGTCTCCAGAGTCACTAAGTTGCCCAGGCTGGGCTTGAACTTATGATCCTCCTACCTCAGCCTCTGAAAAGGGATAGAAATTTTGTTTTGATTTGATTTTTGTTTATTAGTACATCTTTGCAGTAAGTCCTGATTGTGAAGAGGTGGTGCACATACAGATTTCCTGATCCTTTTTTTATCCCTTTCCCTTCCCTGCATCTCTTGGACCCCTGCACACGTGTATATTTGATTTTCTGTACCTGTTTGATCACATCCTTATAGGAACTTGGTGCACCTACACACTTCCCAAGCCCCTGCCTTTTTCTCTGCTTTCCTTCCTAGCCCTCTGCTCTCCCTTCATCTCTCGGTTCCCTTCCCATATGCTAAAGATTCAAATCTCTATTTCCTATTGTCTTTTCTTTGCACTCTATTTATAAAGTTATGGTTTCTTGAGAACCATGAGATATTTAAGTTTCTGTGTCTGATGTACTTAACATTGTGGTCTCAAGGTGTCTCCATTTAACTACAAATGCTTCAAGTTTATCTTTTTTATAGCAGAGTAGTACTCCATTGGACATAAATACACATTTTCTTTCTCCACTCATCTGTTCATGGATGATAGGATGCTCCCAAGATTAACAATTATGAATTGGGCTGCTATAAACATAGTTATGTGTGTATCACTGTAATAAGATGACTTCAAAACTCTTTGGGGAAGATACCCAAAAAGGAAAGAGGAGGGTCAAATAGAATTTCTAGTTTTAGTTTTTTGAGGAATCTCCATACTGATTGTACTGGTTTCATTCCCACCAATGATGAAGGGCTTCTTTTTCCTCATAGCCTCTCCAGCATTTGTAGTGGTTGTTTTCTTAATTATAGCCATTCTTTCTGGGGTGAGATGGAATCTCAGTGTTATTTTTTTGTTTTGGTTTGGTTTTTTTGGTACCAGGGATCAAACTCAGGTCCTTGTGCTTGCAAGGCAGGCGGTGGAACCACTGAGCTAAATGCCCAGGTAGGTGTTCTTTTAATTTGCATTTCTTAAGTGGCCAGAGAGGTTGAACATTTTTTCCATGTATTTATTGGCCATTTGTGTAGAAGGGATAGAGATGCTGACTCGGAGTCTCCTGGGTGTCTCCAGGAGAATACTGTGGGTAAGACCTGTCACCATGGCAGCCAGCACAGGAGGACTTTTAAAGTTGTTTGTAGCTTGAACGCAGTCTGCTATATCATGGTCTTTTGTCACTTTGACTTGCTGTTTCATACCACCCCCATATTTGGCGGGACTCAGGAACATTCAGGATCTATTGCGTCTAGTTGCTTGAATATGGACAAAAGATGAGAGAGAGAGAGAGAGAGAGAGAGAGAGAGAGAGAGAGAGAGAG